CTGTGACAGCGGCATGGCGGCGGCTGGAGCGCTGCTGTAGCATCCGCACCGCTGTGGGACCTGCATCCACATGGTGTGACAGCGGTGAGGCTGGGGGACGGGCAGGGGTACAGCAGTGCTGCAGGTGACGCTGGTACCTCGGCAGCGCCGGTGCATCTCCATCCCCTGCTGGGGTATCCCACCTGCAGGCCCTGCTCCCTGCCCTGCCCAGCCCGGGGTGCCCATCCCGCAGCTGGCGCTTCCTCCCGCCCCGCTCATCCCCATTCCCCTTCTCTCCCTCTCCCCCGCAGAGCCATGGAGCCGGGCACCATCGACAACCTGTCCATCCTGTACCACAGCTCCGACTTCATCGTGGTCAACAAGCACTGGGACCTGCGCATCGACAGCAAGATGTGGTACGAGACGCTGACCCTGCAGAGCCAGCTCAAGCACCGCTTCCCCGAGCTGGCCGACCCCGACACCTACTACGGCTTCAGGTGAGCACCTGGGCGCCGAGCCCGGCTCTGCCCTCAGCTGGGGACACTCCTGAGATCCCCAGGATGCTCCTTTACCCCCGTGTCCTTCTCAGGTTCTGCCACCAGCTGGATTTCTCCACCAGCGGGGCCCTGTGTGTGGCACTCAACAAAGCGGCGGCGGGAAGTGCCTACAAGTGCTTCAAGGAGCGCCTGGTGACCAAAGCCTACCTGGCCCTGGTAAGCCCCCCTTGCCACCTCCTGCCTTGGCCTTCTGGTGTTCCTGAACATCTCTGCCCTGAGGGAAAGCTGAGGGCGTTGGGGGTGTTCAGCTGGACAAGAGAAAGTTTCAGAGTTGGAGCCTAAAGGGGCTCCAGGAGAGCTGGAGAGGGATTTGGACATGAAGGGCATGAAGGGACAGGACACAGGGAATGGCTTCCCACTGCCAGAATGTGGGATTAGATTGGATATTAGGCAGGAATTCTGGCACAGGTTGCCCAGAGAAGCTGTGGCTGCCCCATCCCTGGAAGTGCCCAAGGCCAGCTCGGATGGGGCTGGAAGCAACCTAGGGTAGTGGAAAGTGTCCCTTCCTCCAACAAGGAGTTGGGCTTGGGGAAATGGGTGGCCTTTAAGGTCCTTCCAGCCCCACCCTTTCTGTGATTCTGTGGTTCCTGTCATTGGGGGGTGGGTGAGGAGCACGTGCCAGGGCTCAGTGTCCACGTTCCTGCCCCCAGGTGAGGGGCCACGTGAGCCAGAGCCGGATGACGATCCGCTACGCCATCGGGAAGAACACCACGGAGGGCATGACCCACATGATGTGCATCGAGGGGACAGAGGGTGAGCCGCCCCGTCCCCTGCTCTGCCCACACCTCCAGGGATGTGCTGGGGCATCATAAACCCCCTCTGGATCTCCTTGCAGGCTGTGAGAATCCCAAGCCGTGCCAGTCGGAGCTGATCGTGCTGGAACATGGATCCTACAGCGGAGACCCCGTCACCAAAGTGCTGCTGCAGCCGCTGACAGGTGGGGACAGGGGGAGCAGAGCCTAGAAAGGGATCAGGGAAGCTGAGAGCTGCCATGCTCAGGGGGACAAATGCCAGTAGGTGTATTGTCACCATGCCCTGAAGGAGGGATTCAGGAATTCCCTGTCCCTGATTCCCGCTCTCCCCACAGGGAGGACTCACCAGCTCCGGGTTCACTGCAGCGCCATCGGCCACCCCATTGTGGGGGATTTCACCTACAGCCACAGGCAGGACAGCAATCCCTACAGGATGATGCTCCACGCCTACTACCTGCGCATTCCCACCGGGAAGGAGCTGATCGAGGTGTGCGCGCCCGACCCCTTCGTCACCGCCATGGACAGCAACTGGGTGCCCCAGCACATCACCCAGCGGCTGGAGGACGTCATCCAGGAGCTCAAGGACAAGGGGACACAGAAGGAGGAGGAGGAGGAGGAGGAGGAGGAGAGCCAGGAAGCTGCCGGAGAGGAGGAAGCAGGGAGTGAAGGCAGCAGGGGGGAGACGGAGGAGCAGCGGGCACGGTGCGAGCAGTGGTTGGCTGAGTGGGCTCTGGAGTGAGCACAAAGCACATCCCTGCATTTCCAGCTCCACCCTTATCCCAGCGGGTCCTCACGGAGCCCAGCGCTGCCTCCACACCTGCACTCCCTGTCTGGCTTCCCTCACTCCTGGGGCTGGCATCAGGTGGATTTTAGGAGCGGTTGAGGTGGGGTTGTTTTGTAGTGTCCATCATCCATCTGGCCATGGGATGTCCCAGTCCTGGGCCTCAGCAGCAGAGTCACATTCCAGCTTAGAGTGACCCCAAAGCTTTCCATCCCTGTCCTGGGGCTCGGGCACAGCTGGGCACTGCCTTTGCCGTGGACATTCCCACAACCTCTCCGTGCTTGGATGCGGAATTACAGCCCAGCACAGGGAGGGGAGAACGTGCTGGCTGCAGCTCCAGCGTCCGTGTCCCCCATTCCCATCCCCTCACTCCAGCTGCTGTGTCATGTGGGAGGCTGGGGGCTGGAGCACGTCCTGGGGACACCAATAGTCCCCCAGTTCCAGGGTGTCCTGTGGAACTGGACTGGGATGGGCATGGAAAGTTCCCTGCCCCTCGCCCCCTTCCTCCCTCAGCCCACCTGGGGGGTTTTTAAAGGTTTGGTGAAGGTGAAGGAGTTGATACCAAGGAATTTTAAAACTTTTTTCAATTTTCTAGGAAGAGAATCTAGTCTTCTAGGGTTTGTAAAATATGGGTGGTCTCAGGAATGAGGTATTTTTAGTACTTCCATGGTCAGAGAGCCAGCAGCCCAAAGCTTTTTTAATGGATTTTATTATTCCTTCTACTGGCACTGCCTTTCCTGCTTTTATCCCTGCTGAGACAGGTCAGAGAACACAAGTCCCTTTCTGCTCACTCGCATGAGGAAGGATCAGTGTCCCGTGGGGGTCCCATGGGGTGACTCCTGCCTGGCAGGTTTCCAGAGGGTCCTGCAGGCAGGTCCTTCAGCTGGGCACTTTGGGAAAGCTCTGGAGCAGTAGGAAAAGGATAAAGCTGGAAGAAAGGCTGATGGGAACTGATGGGAAGAGCAGGCAGGAGGAGCTCAGCTTTGACAGATGCCAAGAAATTTCCTGGGAAGTGCCCTTGCTTTGCTGGTCATCCTGCTTTGCTTTCCCCTTCCTCTGCAGCCCTTGGGGGATGTTTGGAAATGAAAACAGGACAGCTGGGGAGGTACAGAGGGGCTGGAGCCCCACAGCCTCATCCCAGGGCTTTCAAGGACCACATCAGCACCCAGAGTTGTTGCCACCCCACCACCCCCATCCCGTGGGCTTCACACAGCTGATATTGCCACCCTGAGGCATGTGGATAAACACACCCTGCAAATCACCAAAATCCCCGGGGGGGTGGAATTGGATCACCTGTCCCGTGCGTCTCTTCCTTTTGTGGCTGGGTGCCACAGGGTGGGGATGGCCTGAGGTGCCAGCGCTGGGCACTGAGCGGGCACTGCGGGCTCTGGGCTGCTGCAGAGGGCTCCGGGAGATGCTGAAGGAGCAGGAGCCCATTGTCCTTGCTGGCAGGTCCTGTCTCACCTTTCAGGAGGGGCTGGGAGCTGGAAATGAGCACAACAAACTCATTTGTCAAAGATTTGGGGGGTGACGCTGGCAAGTGACAGCAGAGATTGGCATGTCCCCAGGGACTCAGCCTTCATCATCCTGCCGGGATGAGGGGTGGGGACATGGGGACATGGATGGGGCTGGCACCCTGAGCCCACCAGGTTCACATCGAGGAGCCCCCACACCCCACCCCAGCCTCTGCACGCTGCTTTTCCCCAACGCCACAGATAAAAAGGAATTTTCCTTACTCTACAAAGGGAGTTTTCCAGGCTGTGTCCCTGTCCTGTCCCCTCCTGCCCACGGGGCTGTGGCTCCTGTCATGCCCCGGGGTTGTGGTGTGGCTCTGATGTCCCGTGCACCTTGCAATTCCACTTTTGGTGTATTTACTGTATTAAACGTGTCTCTGCCCTTCACTTTCCGCTCGCTGCATCCATCCTGTGCTCACGGGGGTTTCCAGGAATGAGACCGGACCAGTCCCACAGGAGCGGCCCCGGGACCCGAGCCAGCCAGCCTGGCATGAGAGAAAGGATTGTGTGAGGGACAGGATTGTGTGAGGGACTGGATTGTGTGTGAGGGACAGGATTGTGTGTGAGGGACAGGATTGTGTGAGGGACAGGATTGTGTGTGAGGGACAGGATTGTGTGAGGGACAGGATTGTGTGTGAGGGGCAGGATTGTGTGAGGGACAGGATTGTGTGAGGGACAGGATTGTGTGTGAGGGACAGGATTGTGTGTGAGGAACAGGATTGTGTGTGAGGGACGGGATTGTGTGTGAGGGACGGGACTGTGTGTGAGGGACGGGATTGTGTGAGGGACGGGATTGTGTGAGGGGCAGGATTGTGTGTGAGGGACAGGATTGTGTGTGAGGGACAGGATTGTGTGTGAGGGACAGGATTGTGTGTGAGGGACGGGATTGTTGTGTGTAAGGGACAGGATTGTGTGTGAGGGACAGGATTGTGTGTGACAGGCAGGATTGTTGTGTGAGGGCAGGATTGTTGTGTGAGTCGCAGGATTGATTCCTGCTCGCCCTGTTGGGACTGCCAGCCCTGCTGGGCCGGAACCAGCAGGACGAGCGGCCCCAGAGCCCTCCCGGGTTTGGTAACAGAGATGGCCGGGGCCGATGAGCACCTGGTGGCACTGCCCGTCCTGTCCCCACCTGTCCCCACCCTCCGGGACAGCACCGGCCGCTGGGATTGTCCCAACCAGAGCAGGAGAAAAGCTCCGGGTTTGGGAATGCTGGGGCTGTCCCTGGTGGGGAGCAGCCCCAGGGCTGAGGGGGTTTAGGGTGCACAGGGAAAGCTGCCACCAGGAATGAGCCATTGATGTGATGCTCTAAGGGCTGGAACCCCCCTGGAGTTGTCCAAGGCCAGGTTGGAGCAGCCTGGGACGGTGGGAGGTGTCCCTGCCCATGGCAGGGCTGGCACTGGATGGGATTTAAGGTCCCTTCCAACCCAAACCATTCCAGGACTCTGTGATTTCTATGGAACTCCTGAACACAGAACTCATCCCTCAGGCTGGAACAGAGGGAACCCTGATCAAAGACCCAAGGAATTATTACAGTCTTTAAGACTGAGATTTTTTTTTTAAGATTATGAACCAGATATGGGCAGAGAGCAACTGGTTAAGGGTGAGGAGCATTCCCAGCCCTCCTGGCACAGGGAGATGCAGTCAGGGCTCACAGCTGACCTGGCAATGTCCCCAGGAACAGCCTGGGGCAGATGCTGCTCCACACGGTCATGTTCAGGGTGGATCTTCCTCTGGCAGCTCCTGAGGGTTTCAGGGCCAGCTTTGATCTGCACAGGGACACAGTGGACACGGTGACCCCCAGAGTGGCCCTGATGTGTCCCTGCCCTCCTGCTCCAGCCACCTCTGTCCAGCCAGCCCGGGGCAGGGGCTGTGTCCCTCCAGCAGTTCATAGCAAACAAGTTTCTGTAATTTTACCACCCCAACAGGAGCTATTTTTACAGTAAATCCTTCCAAAATAGAAACCAGCAACGCCCACGGGCGTAAGCCCAGCCCTGGGGCTGCAGGACCGGTTGGGGGACGGGGCTGGGGACAGGATGGGGCTGGGGGTGACCAACCCCTCTTGGCACTGTGCCAGCAGCTCCAGGGACCCTCGGTGGGGGCTGGGACCCCCAAACCTGGCCGAGAGGGGGGGTGCAGCCCTGCTCCAGCCCAGCCACCCTTCCCTTTTCCCGAGATAAACGCCCAGATAACGTTTGTGCTCACAGCTCCTGCAGGTTGTCATCTCAGAGCCTCGGGAAGGATTTGATTTGGTTTTGGTCTCCTTCGTGGCACATGCTTTTTGGAGTATGACCAGGGGAAAAGCTGAAAAAAAGGGGATGGGATTGGCTGTGATGCAGGGAAAAAGGAGAGGCACAGTGGAAGCACCTCCCAGAGGGTGCTGAGCTCATCACTGGGGTCCATTCTGCACCCCAGCTATAAAATAACCCCCGAGCAGCTCTAAAGCTTTTTCCCCTTCCCGGGAACACCTCGACCCCCCTCAAGAGCACAGAAACTCCCAAACCAGAGGCTTTAACTCCTTCTGGGTTCACTTTGGGTTCAGCTGAACCCAGAGCTGAAAGTGACCCTTTACCGAGGAGTAGGAAACATCCCCAAAGCAAAACCAGGGAGAAGGAAAGGAGCCTGACAAAACAGAGTTGAGAAACTGCCCCGTCACACCCCGTGTGTCGAGCTACATCCCCACCCCGCACAGATAAAGCTCTGAGCACTGCCCAGCCCCTGCCCCAGCCCCGGGAGCACCTTCCCGGCCGAATCCTCCCATCCCAGAGCCAAATCCCCCGGGACAAGGAGGAGGAGAACGGCTCGGCACAGCCACGGTAGGATCTGGGGGGAAATAAATGAGATTTAGGAGGGGAAATCCCTTGCATTGAGTTCAAAGGTGATAACGGATTGCTGTAGGGAATTTCAGGAGCAGGGATTGAGTTTCTATCAAATCCCCCTGAGGGGTGTGGAGGGGTGGGGAACACCTGCTGGGCTCCCTCACTGCGTTACACTGGATTTCTCCCAGTCTGTGCTGGTGAGGAGCTGGGGGATGGAGGGGGACCCCATCCCTGCAGGACAGTTGAGGAGTTTCTTCTAATAATGGGTGGGAAAAGTCCCATTTTCTGTTATGTGGGATTTACAATCTCTCCCGTGGTGGCGGGGGGTCTGTGCAGCATCATAGAGCCGGGGTGGGCACAGTGACACCCCTGACCCTACAGCTCCGGCCCCAGTGTTGGGTGACAGAATCAGCCCCAGGACATCCAGCACATTCCAGCACATTCCAGCGCCTTCCAGCAATTCCAAGTGCGGCACACGGCTCTCCAGACCCGCTCCAAGGACGAACCCCCAGCACCAGCACCATGGTGTGGGCAGCACCAGCCCTGGCAGCCGCCCTCTGCCTCCGTGAGTCAAATCCTGTCCCCAAAAACTGCCCCGGGACCCCCAGCCACCCCCTGGCACCAGGGATGCTCCAGCTGGGCTGCTCCTCATCCCAATCCTGCTCCCAAGGCTCTGCCTCCTGCTCCCCTCAGCATCCGCCGGCTTTTCCAGGGACAGATCTTCCCAGATCTCCGGGGATGGATTTACCCCTTTTTGTCTTCCCCACCATCCCGGAGGGAGCCGGGGCTGCTCTCTCCATAGCCTTCCGCAGCATTTCCTAAGCATTAAACTGGCAAAGGAAAGGCTTTTCCCAGACTTTGAACCTGGAGCTGCTTGGAACAGCCCCGACGAGCTGTCCCTAACCCATGGGGTGTTTCCTAACCTGCTCCTGCTTCCTTGCAGGTGTCTCCACAGACCTGGTGAAAGCCACAGCGGTGAGTCCCTGCCGGCCCCGCTGGCTCCCACAGTGCCAAAATCCCAAAATTCCCAAAATCCCACCGCTGGGATCCCTGCTGTCCCCCTGTGCAGAGCGTGGTCCTGTCCTTGTCCCATCCTTCACCTCCCCTGCTCCCAAAGCCACCCCCAGGGACAGCCCTAGGCCAGTGTCCCCGCTCCCGAGAGTGGCTTTGATGGATTTTGTCCCCACAAGCAGCCCAGGGGCTGCTGCAGCTCCTGGCTGCTCCCGTGGAGCTCCAGCCGGGTCGCATCCCATTCCCTGCATCTCAAATCCCTTCTTCCCTTTCCTTGCCGGGGCTGAGCACGCCCCATCCTCTTCCCCAGGCTGCCCTGATTCTTGGAGCCGTCCTGTCCAGCGCTGAGCATCCCCCGTAAGTACCGGCCCCGACCGGGGCTCTGAGGATCGGGGGGTCCGGGGGGGTGAATTTGTGTTTATCCCACATCAGCTGCTGTGCCGGCTCACCGGGGCGGGGAGGATTTACAGCCCTGTGCAGCCGGTTCCGTGCTGGGATTCCAGCGGGCTGGGCTCCTGCAGAAACTCAAACACACCGAGAATTCTCCTTCCTCCACGCGGGAGCCTCGCCCCGGCTGAAACCCAGGCGCTGCTGTTCTCTCCCGCACCCAAATCCCGGGATATGGGGGGCACCCAGCCTGCCGGGGGGATGGCAGCACCCTGGCACTGCTTTTAGGGGACATTTTCATGACATTTCACGTGTACAGGCTCTGGGCTGTGACCCTGAGCCGGGCACCATCCCAGCCTCGGATCCCGATGTCCTGGAGGGGGCACAGCAGGATGCCCTCGATGCCCTGCTCCTCTCGGGGTACGGGTGAGGAGCCCTCCTGCTCCTGGAGGGGTGGTGGGGGATGCTGAGCTGCTCCTGCTGCTGCCGCAGGGATCCTTCGAGCTGGGATTTACCGACTCTGCAAGACCTGGGGCCGCTCGTGAACCAGACCACGCTGAGTTTGGTGCCCGAGGTAAGGACCCTCCTGGGGGGAGATGACCACCAGGCAGGTCAGCTCCGAGGCCGGGGGACCTGTGCCCTCCGCTCCCAACACCCTCTGGCCCCGCAGGCAGCACGGGAGGATCTCAGGAGGGGCATCACAGCCTCCGACATCAGCCAGGGACGTTCCCAGCGGGAGAAATCCCTTCCCCTCCCCAGGGCGCTTGCAGCAGCAGCTGGAGCCAGGCTGGAGCGCAGCGCCGCCCGTGAGTGCTCCCCTTCCCTCCGAGGGGGAAATGCCCCGGGGCTGGTCGGCAGCTGGGAGCTCCCGGATGGACCAGGCAGAAATCCGGGATTCCCACATCTGGGGAAGTGGGGAAATGTTCTTGGAGGACGGGGCGGGGGTTGCTCAGGGAGAGGGGATGCGGTGCAGCGCTCAGGAAGGAGCTGGGACAGTCCCCAGGCTGGACGCTGCAAGAACAGAGGACGCTCGGATAGGGGATGTGGAGCAGTTTGAGCTGCCTGTAACAGGACAAAGCACAAGTGGGCTGCAAAACATCACCGGGTTCTTCAGGAATAACTTCAGGGAATGACAGCAAATGAGGCACCTCTGTGGATTGGGGACCAGGGGATGGGAGCAGGAACCACGGTGGCTTGAGCCACTTTTTTGTGATTCCCTGTCCTTCAGCAGGGCTCTTCCAAGGGGCTCTGAGCCCTGTGGCAGGAGCAGGGCAGGGTGGGGACACACAGCCAATACCTGACACAATTCCTTGCCCTCAGGCTGCCAGTCCGAGCCCATTACCGCCAGCAACATCGATGATACCGTCCCCTACCTCACCCTTGACCAGCTCGACCTTTGCCTGAGCAGTGATGTCTTAATAGAAAACCTGGAGGCTGTTCTGGCACAGCCAATCATCACAGATACTTACCTGATCCTGAAAAAAAAGGTGGATGAGGTAAGGGGTGACACCGGGCACGAGCCGGGATGGGCAGGACACAGGAATGAAGGCGCCCAGGTGGGTCCTTTGCACTGACTCCTGCCCCATTTTCCCTTCCCTCACCCTCCTTCCTGCCCCACCGGCCCGGCCCCACAGTTTTACCCCTCGGGGATCCCGGAGGAGCAGCTGAGGCGCCTGGGGCTGCTGTCCCGCCTGTACACGGTGCAGGAGATCAGCCAGTGGCCGCTGACATCCAGTGACACCCTCTCAGTGCTGCTCGACCCCTCGGGAGGAGAGTGGAATGATTCCCAGGTAAATCCATGGCAGCAGAAGGGGATGGGTGATGAGGAACCCAAACTGGGACTGGCCCTGGCTCAGCCCAGCTCAGGGTGGAGGCACCGGGGGGTTGTTTTGGGGGGTTGGCAGCGCTGCCATCCTTACCAGCAGCATCTCCCCACGTGCACCTCAGGTGCAGCAGCTGCTCAGCAGGTACCTGGACCTGGGGGGCTCCCTGACCGGGCCCCTGCTGCGGCAGATCGGAGACAAACACCTGTGTGAGCTGCAGGAGGAGCAGATCCAGCAGATCCCTGCCGGAGCCATCGGGTGAGCCGCTTCTCAGGGAGGCTGCTCAGCCCTGAGAGGCCCCTGGGATGTGGGGAGGGGGTGGTGGGATGGCAGACCCCCAGCTCTGTTGTGGATCTCCCCATTCCCAATCAGCACAGTGGGATGTGATCCAACCCCAGATCCCACCTGAGCCCCAGGACCATGAGCAGGGATATCCTGCTCGTTCCTCCCAACCACCAGAACAATTCATCTGCAATTTGGGATGCTGCTGACCTGTGTCCCCCCTTCCAGGACTGCTGGGAAGTTAAACATTTCTTCGTGCTCCCAAACCAAGAAGGAGCAGCTCTATGGGAAGGCTCGGGAGGCCTTTGCCAGCCTGGCCAGCACCCCTGGCCCCTATTACTGCCAGATCCGGCCGTATCTGGGTAGGTGCTTCCCCTCCTCCAGGTTCGGGGTCTCTTCCCAGCCACAGATAGGTCTGGCAGTCTCCAGAACATCTCCAAGTCCTCTCCAGAAGTGCTGGAAGGGTTTGCACATCTACAGGTGCTCTCTTTAAGGTGGAGCTCCAGCAGAGGATCTGAAGGAGTTGGCTAATGCTGGTGTGTCCATAAACATGGATCTGGACACCTTCCTCTCCCTAAATCCCCAGGAACTGCAGGTACAGCCCTGGGATGCTGCTGTCCCTCTCCCCAGGGAAGGGCAGGGCTGGCTGAGGAGGGGGGTTTGAGGTCAGAGCCCAACCAAATCACCCATTCTCCACTTGCTCACCTTTAGGAATTTTCCTTAGGAAGTTTCAGTTGCTCTGCAGCCCCGTTAGCAAAGCTTTTGGGGCTGTGAGGGTGAAGGAAGGGGCTGCTGTGTGTGTGTGTTGCAGAAACTCAGCGTCACCGACGTGAAGAATTTGCTGGGGGAAAACCTCTCTGAGCTGAAGCAAGCTGAGCACGAGCCCTCGGTGGTGAGCTGGGTGCAGAAGCAATTCCAGCGGGAGCTGGACTGTGTGCTGGGAATCGGCCTGCAGGGAGGGCTGCCAGAGCCCACGGGGACAGCCAGCCCTGCTGGCACCACCCCGGCCAGTGTCACCTCCATGGCCACCACCCCTGTGCCCACCACCTCAGCCGATGTCACCTCCGTGGTCACCACCCCTGTGCCCACCACCTCAACCAGAGTCACCTCCATGGTCACCACCTCTGTGCCCACCACCTCAGCCAGAGTCACCTCCGTGGTCACCACCCCTGTGCCCACCACCTCAGCTGGTGTCACCTCCATGGTCACCACCCCTGTGCCCACCACCTCAGCCGGTGTCACCTCCGTGGTCACCACCCCTGTCAGTGTCACCTCCACAGGCACTGTCCCCACCTCTCCTCACCCTGCCACCTCAGCCAGTGTCACCTCCATGTTTACCCCTGTCCCCA